ATATAAAAATACATGATGGATTTAACAATTTCTTTTCACTTTCCCAAAGGAAAGAAAAAAGCGTTTATTTTTGAAAACAAACTATTCCAATATTTCAACTTTGAAAGGGGGGAGAAGAAGCAGCTCATTCATTTTGTTGTTTCGGTATTTCTCGTGTTTTTCGACCAAGTAATCATATTCTTTGAGTTTAAAACAGCCAACAGGGCATTTTTTACAAAGATATTCGACCAATCTTTTGGGAATTATCTTTAATTCAAAAGGACGATGAATTCTAACAAAAGAAGGATCTATTCTTAGACAGTCAGGCAGTTGACGAATTTGGATTTGAGAAACGAAAGGCTTTTGTTTTTCTGTGATTTCCTCTTCCTCTTGCGAAGTGATAGATAACAAGCGAAGAAAAAATAACTCTTTATCCAACTCTTTTATTTTTTTTATTTGAGTTATTAAGAAAGGGCGAGATCTAGCGAAATAATCTCATTGGTCGCTTTTTTTGAGATCAACAATGATTATTTGGTTTAACTTTGGCTCTAGTTTCATTTTCTTATAACTTTACGCTTTCTACAATATGAGAAACAAATTCTTGGTAATAGTCAAGTAATTCCGAACTTTGCGGCATGCTCCTTTGCTTGCTTTCTTGCTTTCAAGTTTGAACCCAAGCAGGATCTTCGTGTGCAAAAGCCTCTAATTGGCGATCAGAATAAGTTTTGAAATAACGGTAAACTTTGGTGAGAAAATCCTTTATCGAAATATTTATGTTTGCCACTAAATTCTTTTCGACAAGAGAAAGAAAACCACGATAAACATCATAAAATATTCCCCCGTGTTCAAAAGCTCACATCTTTTCCAAAAACAAATAATGTCCGTATTTAGAAGCATAAAGCATTTGAGCAATGTGTAGTATTTTATTTAAGCGAAAATTGCCAATCATCGGAATAGAAATTCCCGCAATATCTGCCATCTCCTTCTTGATAAAGTATTCTCTATTTGGATCTAACGAAAGCAAAAACTTAGCTGCCTCCATCGCTGAAATTTGAGAAATTTGTTGATTAGGAATTTGGTTGGATGTCATGATTTCTTATAATATAATTTTAGCCGATTTATTCTTTCGCTTTCTTTAACAGAAAGGAAAGAAACTTTTTTAAGTTTTGAAAACACACATAAACAAATGAACTAAACCAATTATGAAACTTCCAATGGTTATTCAAACCATAATCTCATCTTTGTTAGTCAAGACAAAACACCTAATCCTTTTTATTGTGGTCGGGGGCTCTTCTGATTGGTCACCAGATTCAGTCTGCATATATTACTACTAATTTTTTTATGTTCATTGCGGGCAAAATAAGGGCATTATCGACCGGAGTTTTTCCGGCTAATTTTTCTGGTATTTAGTCATCAATTACCCCCCTTAAACTATTGGGTAAACTGCGACAATGGTCTTTTAAACTGGGTATTAATTTTTAGGTTGTTTTTAGTAAATTATGATTTAGATTGCTGTAAATCGGCTACTTTAAGAGTTTGTTCTAGTTTTTGGCAATTTGGACGAGAACTAGGTTTTGGAAGTTTCACTTTTGGCTTAACATTTACCAGTTTAATTTGGCTTGACTCCTCGAGCTTAATTATAGTACTTGGTAGAAAAAGATCGGAGTTGATAACAAAAAACCGTTAAAAGTATGAATATGATAAACCTAAGGCAAATAATTACTAAACTAAAAACTTTATTATATGTCATTTCATAATTCAAATAATTATCAAATATTAAACTACTATAAAGTGCTAGAAATAAGCAAAAATGCAACCCAAGAGGAAATAAAAACGGCTTACAAAAGACTAGCCCTGGAATATCATCCCGATAAACAATCTGGAAAGTTAGATGCAGAAAAGAAAGCGTCTGAAGAAAAAATGAAGCAAATAAATGCTGCCTATGAAACCCTATCTGATCCTGAAAAAAGAAAAGAATATGATTCGCTTATCGACAGTAGAGAAAGAAATAAGTCTGGTATTCCAACCCCAATTAAGGTGTTGCTTGCTATTGGTGCAGTAACATTATTGATTTATTTGGTTTCTTCAGAAGAAAATGAAAAAAAATAATTTAATATGACTAAAAATGGCTGAATGAAAACAACAAATCTAAGGTATAAATATTTGTCTCTTATCAAATTTAGTTCACGCTTCGTCCTTCTGGCTTTCTTCTATTCCTCCCCAAAAAAAAAATTTTCTAGCCAAATTCTGCCAAAAATTTTAACTCTTTTTTCTGGATACAAGTCTGAAAGAGAATTTGCCAGCATTTTTGTCTAATTTTTTTTGCTCTAAAATTGGGTGAATAAACTCTTTATAATATAAAATATGAAACAAAAACAGATTAAAGAACAAATACTAAAATTGGTCGCTCAAATGTTAGACTGGTACCAGTTAGAAATAAAAGGCTTGCAAACTAGTCTGAAAGAAGTCAAAAAAATTCCCCAAAAAAAGTCTAGTGAATTAACCTCAAATGATGGTGAGAATTTGCAACACGAAATGAAATTCTTAATGGAGAGATTGGGGACGAAGATAATTATGAGAAACTAGAAGAATTAACCACTAAGTTAGCCAAATAGCATAACCATTTAAAAAAAAATAAACAAATTAGTTCGGAAGCAAAAACTAGATTTGGTAAATATTTACTGTTTTCAATTTTCCTCTTTGTCTTTATCGTCAACTTCGTATTCGCCTTCGGCTCATTCCCAATCTCATTCTTTTTTAATGGGGTTTTCGTATCAGGCTCAGAATTTAGAATGCCAGCGTAAACTCGCTTAGCCCGGTCAAGCCCTTCTTTTGGAAAATTCGGCGGCAAATGGGCAAACAATCTCCTTTCCTCCTAGTTCAATTGATAATTTTTTATTCACGGTAGGGAAATTTTGATTTCTGATGACATGATTAATTATTTTTAGGAGGAATTTGAATTTGGGCTTGGAATTGTTGTTGATTTTGTTCAGTTTGGTAAAGTGGTTCTTCAAGAGTCTTTTGCCGTTTAATTTCTCTTTGGTTAGTTATAGTTGGGAAGACAGGAAGAAGTTGTTGTTTAGTGTTGCTTTGCAGGATATCAAATTGCATAGATTGAGAAAGTTCTGCTGAAGCATTAATATTCACTGTTAATTGTTCAAGAATTCGAAGTTTGGGTAAATTATCGGTAAATTCGCTTAAGCATCTACTGGTATAAACAGCTTGAGGGTGGATTTGGCAAGAGAGGTTGTCATTCAGCAATTTGTCAAATGCTTCCTTTACTTCCCTGTCTCTTTTTTTACGACTCTGTTTTTTTTTGAATTTATAATGCTTGTAGAATTCATTAAACAATTCTTTTTGAATTCTTTCTATTTCTTCAAACTTTATTTTTTTAGTTTGCAACTTATACTGCTGCCAAAGCCGAGAAGTTTTTTGGCAAAGGGCTTCTTTTTCGGCTGTTTCCACTTCTTGGTATTGTTTCTTGAATTCACTACTCCCTTTTTCTTTATTATTGATTTCTTTCCGTCAACAACCCAATTTTTCTTTTAAAATATCAGTTTTAGGACGTTTTGCGGGCTTGGCATCTAAGCATTTCTCAATTAAGTCTTTTAATAGTTTAGGTGCTTGTACATTATCTAAATTTGGCCGCAGTCCGCAACATATGCTTATTGCCAAGTTTTCATCATGAGCTTTATCGTAATAAGGAGGTAATCCCGAAAGCACTTCATAAGCTACCATCCCAAAAGCATAAATGTCGGAGGCTTGAGTATATGACTTTTTATTAAGAACTTCCGGAGCAATATAGGGCAGCACTCCGTAAATTTTTTCTCCGCTCTCTTCATTAGCTGGTCGACATAAACCCAAATCGGTAACCAAACAATAGATATCATTACCATCTTTATGTTTGTCAAGCCTATTCAGAATGTTTCCCGAATGAAAATCCTGATGTATTAGTCCTTTATCGTGAATATCTTTCAATCCACAAGCTATTCTTCATAATTGGTCTAATTTTTCTTTGAAATTCAATTGATTATTCTTTAAAAATTTTCTTAAATCTCCACCTTTAATGTATTCCATTACCATTAAATAATTCTTAGTTTCTGGGTCTTGTGAAATTCCGTAGCAATTTACAACTCTGCTAGATTTATTAAATAGTTTGTGATTAGCAATTTCTCGCAAAAAATCAGCCTTGATATCTTGCGAATCGTTGAGACTTTTTAGAATAACAATTTTCTTGTTTCATTTGGTTTTGTAAACTTTCCCAAAACCTCCTTCGGCTAAATATTCAACATTCTCAAACTGCTGATAAGGAATTCATTCTAATGTTTCTTTTAAGTTGTTCGCCTTTAATTGTCAACTTTGAATAAGTTTGTCAATTTCCTGATTGTCACTTGAATTACAAAATTGGCATTGATCTTTTCCGCTATTGAGTCGTTGACATTTCTGACACCTCCCATTTTTTATAAATAAATCCAATCGTCCCTTTATTTTTTTTACCTTGCTCTTGGGTCTAATTTGGGTAGAATAGGAGATTTTTTTGTTACCATAGTAATCGGTACCGCTCAAACCATTCGGTAAATATTCTATTCCGCATCGGTATTGCTAATATCTAATCATCCTAATTTTTTCAAATCTCACAAAGGTTCCAAGCTGCCCACAAATCGATTGTAGATGCCTTGATTGATTCCCTCTTGAATTTTGTTTTTAAATTCGTCGGATCAATAAACTGACTGAAAATTTGGTCAATAACTTTCAGTACTATTACCAACTCCTAAATATTTTAAATTAACTAAATGGCTAAACATAGATAAATCCCTTTCAGAGAAGTTATTGTTTCTAACATCCAACTCTGTCAATTTTTCGCTTTCGAAGGGAAGAACCAAATCTTGTAAGCAATTATTGTTACAATCAAGTTTTCTCAATTGCAGGCAATTATTTATCTTTAAAGCAGTTAATTTATTTTGAGAGCAATTTAATTCTTCTAAATTGATGAAATCATTTAAATCTAAGTTGCTTTCTAAGTTTTTACTACTAATGCCTAATTCCTTTATTGTTTTTCTTTGTTCTTGAGGATAAAAGCAATCTAGATAATCTTGAGCAGATAGGTTTTTTCAATTTTCTCTTAGTCGTCTCAAATTCAAGTTTAGTTGAGATTGATAACCTTTTCATCTTAGATAAGCAGCAAATTCGTAGTCTCTTTTGCTTAAACCAACATCTTTTCAAAATTTAACATGTTGAGAAGTAAAATTGTATCTTTTTCATTGTTCGACTTCTCAATAATAGTCTGGTCTAAATCCCAAACCAATTCATTCATCAGCTTCTTGGTAAGTCAAACCTCATTTTTCTCAGGCTGCTTGATAAGTTTTGCCATAAAGTCATTCTTTAGCAAAGTCAGGATGAATGTCTGTTCAGTTAGTCATAATGTTTTTTATTATCTATTATACAACCTTCCTTCTCTTTTAGAGAACTTAATCTTATAAAAACTCTCCTGAAATTAATGTGATGTTAGGAATAAAATGGAATAAATTATCTCAAAATAATTCAGCACTAACTTAATGCAAAGAAGTTACCGAATTAAAAAAAGAAGTCGAAGAAATCAAATAAGTTCGCCAAAAAGAACTTTCTGAAGAATTATTGCTTCGAACATTTCCAATATTATTAACTTCATAATCCCTATAATGCATTTTTCTTTAAAAAGTAAATTATTTTGTTAGTTCTTTTTCCGCTAAAGAGGGGAAATTTTCTTCGTTTGTTTGCCAACAGCAACCAACTCTTTTTCTTGACGAATTTGCTCAAGGGCTTGTTCAACTTTTTGCACTTGCAGTTCCGTATTTAGAACCTTCACTTGCTCTTGCATCTTTTTCCTTTTGTCTCAGCCCAAGAGTTTTCGTACTTTTTTTCAAAGCCAAACCAAGAAAAGAATAACTAAAAGCAAAAGCAAATAAGTAGTTCCTTGGGTTAAATGGTTTTGAAAGTTTTGGATTTGTTCAGCTTTGGCCGCACTCGAACGTCGAACTTCTTCCGGAATAGCATTGTAGCGAGCTTGTAACTCGTTTAGGCGAGTTTGGGTTTCCGCCATTTGCGTCTCTAATTGCTGTTGTTGTTCTTCAAAAATAGTTGTCCCTATTTCCGACCTTCTTTCTAGTAATTCTTGCATATTAGTTTGGAAATTATCCATATCTAGACGCAGACCAGAAATCTCATTGTTGAGGTTTCGAGTTTTCCTTTCTGCTTCAGTTTCCCGAATGATATAAGGAGCCACAATGTTTTCGGTAATAGGTCGACTAATGACTCGTTCGACTACTCTTTTCACCGGCTCTTTTCAACCAAATCAACTAGTTACTCCATTTCAGGCTCAGGATATTCCACTTTTGACTTTATCCCAGTTTCGGTAGACAAGGTAACCCCCGCCAATTACTGCCGCTAGGCCTACTCAGCCTCAAAGGGGTATAGAAGCCACTCCGGTTGACAGACTAGTTCAAAAGCCCTTTCCTGCCATATAACTTTTAGTTAGTTTGGCCGCAGTAAGCCCGGCCTTTATAGCGTGAGCCGTACCAGCTTTAGCCATTCCGTAAGTCAGGGCTTGTTTTCATAAAACCGAATAACCATAATACGCGATACCGCCGGTCACAGTTAATCCTACACTTGCTCCGGTCGCAATTTTTCCGACTGTTTTTCAACCACTTTGGGGTGAGGTTCCTGGTGGTTCCAAGTTTTGCTGTTGTTGGGTTCTTTCTTGTTCTGGTTCTTGGTGAGGCGAAATAATTTCCTCCTCCTCAACATCTTCGGTTTGATTGTTAGTTAGAGTTTCATTTTCACTTTCCTCTTCTTCATTATCAGTTTCAACTGTAACATGAGGGTAATTTTGTTCTAGTTGCTCTTCACGAACTGGCGTTCCGTTACTTTCCATATAATATATTATAAACCATTTATTTTAGCAATCTTGCGGCTAAAAAAATTAGGTGAAATTACTAGAAAATTTACTTATGAATTCGTATCCAGAAAACAGAGTTAAAAATTTTGGCAGAATTTGGCTAGAAAATTTTTTTTTGGTAGGGAAGAAATTGATGGAAATTAGTCTTTT